GTGAGGGCACGTACCTTGTATTGGCGATGGTCTGCATGGGCGACATCTTCAAGTACTTCGGGCTGCCGCTGATGTCAACAGTTGCATTGTCTTTTCGTAGTCTGTAGTATCTGTGTAGGAGTAGGCTGGGCGCTGAGCGCCAAGTGTGAGTGTGAAGTAACTGGACTCTTGTGTTGGGAGAAGAGAGTATGCTCTCCATGAACATTGGTTTTCAGTGCTACGAACCTCCATTGGTGTATTATTGGTGCAATGCTGCTCTCTGGACACAGTGTGACTATTTGGCTTACAATGTGATGGTGTGATATGGAATTGTCATCTCACTCTTACTTATTTCCCTTGCATAAAAGAAAAGAAGAAAAAAAAAGGGAGAAAGCCCATTCACACGGTGACTGCACTGCACCAAAAAAAAAAAAAAAAAAAAACTATCGGAAGAAGGTCCTGCACAAAGTACCTTGCCTGCCTCTGCTATAGCCTCATAAGGTTTGAAAGGCAACAATCCGTTGGAGGTGATAGCTGTCAAGTCCTCAGGTTGAAAGGCCCTGTTTGTTTTTTTGGCAAACAAAAGTGACCTTTTTATTACAGGGGGCCGTGGCCCAGTGTCCACCACATGTGCACAAAACTTGCGTCGAACAAAAAAGAGGTGTTGGGACGTTCCTTTTTATTCTCTTTAAAGGTGTTGGGACGTTCTGTTCACATAGCCAGCGGCTGCTTTTGATTTGCCATGTTCGTTTTCACATAGTGAGCTACTTGAGGGCAGTTTTTTTTCCCCTCCATTTCAAGGAACATGAATGTGGACGAAGCACAAAAATCCAAATTGCAAAATCACACTGAAGTCCAAGTAGTCAACGCAAGAGCAAATAGCACAATGGAACCGAGTAACCATCCATTTGAGAACGATACAAAAGAATCGTGAGTCAATGTCCAAGCCCAATCGGGCAACACCAACAGCATAACCCAATGTAACTCTCTCTCTTGAATGGCGCCAGGCACCCTACCCACTCTACAGCCTATCACTACAACTACAGCATGGAAGCAACCAGACAACTTGACGACCAGCGAGTGATGACGTCAACACCAATGCCGACCTCCTCTCCACCAGGTACGTCTCTCTCTTCACCCTCACTCTCCCTTGTTATCCCACACAACGCCCTTCACTTCCCAAAGACCCACCTTCCCCCTCAACCTCCCTCTACGCCCACAGGCAGCCCGGCAATGGCCTCCAGCGCCCTGCGCCCAGGCTGCGCTCTACCACTTAGCGTCAGCCTGCCTCTCTCAGCCACTACGCAGCGCAAGTGCTCGCGCTACAATGCAGCAGCATGCCCGCAATCCCTGCCCATTCGCCCTCTCTGCCTATATGCCAGTGTTCGTGTGGGCGGCCTCCCTTGAGCGTGCGCCTGGGCCCCAGTACCTATACCCTGGCCCAATGCGGTTGGGGCTCACGAAATACAGTTGCGCTAGGCCTGCGCCCAGATTCAGATAGTGGACCGGTTTCCCATTGGCATTTTCGGCCTCTATATTCAGCATGCATTGTCGGCCTCACGTTTATGTGCCCAGGGCCTAA